GTTGGTTTGATTTAGTTTTAATAAAAACCAAACCAACCCGATCCATGTACACCCCTAGTAGGATCTATTTAAGATAAGAATTTCTTAATTTCTAAAAGTCGAACCTAAAACTCAAATTAAATGTAAAATGATCTCATCAATCTCAACATATTTCTTGGTAGAAAAGGTTGGTTGTATGTTTCTTGGGAGTAAAGCCTTATTTTTCTCTCCCCCCAAAACTCAGTCTTTCTGGTATCTATCAACATATAGAAATATTGGTCCTTGTCCTGCTTGAAATGCTATAGTAAGATGAAACTTCCTAAAAATGATTATTTTGTTTAGGGGCGGACATATGGTAAAGGAAGCGATGTCATGTAACACTGCTTTGTCCGAAAAGTTTATTAAGCATATGTAATTATATTGTGCCGAAATGAGTAACAAATATTAAATGACACCATTTGACATGTATTCTCATTTGGCATGCTAGTTCAGTTCCTAGTTTTGCTTTAAGATGTCGGACTTGATTTATTTTAGCAAATATTAAGAGCCTCTTGTTAAAAATTGTAGTTAAGTAGAACTGAACTCGAGACCTCTTCTAACTTAAGACTCCGCAAAATTAATGCATTAAGACTATTACTCATTTAGAAATATGATAATTAATGTTATTTATTTTACACTTTTATGTAAATATTGATACCGCTTACAAAAAGTTCTGTTTGGTTCTTAAAACTCAATCGGAAATGCCACAACAATTGGAAAATCAAATATTATGTTTTCTATACAAGTGGCTATGCATTCTGCTTCCAAAATGATCGGATATAAAAATTCAATCTTATTCACTAAAGGTGTAAAAGAATTAANATATATATATATGCTTAGTGTCATAGCGTGGATACTTATCTACTATATAAACTTGAGTATAATTTGTCTTATTTTTAATGAATAAAATTTAAATTCAAAATAATAAAAAAGTAGTCTCAGATTACCCAATGTTTACACCGACATTGACTTTACACGAAATCATGAACGAGTATTTGCATTTTATATGCATGCATGCATGCACACACAGACTACACAGAACCCTTTAATTTTTTCCATTAAAAAAAATATAAAGGTTGCCTCTTCTTATCGTAGAAACAAGTTGCAAATATTGTGGTTGATGACTAACAGGATTTATCTAATTATAAAGTTACATTCACATGTAGAAGTAGTCTTAATTAATTAATTAATTTCACCTAGAGTTTTCTTTAAGTTTTTCCTTTCTAAAGTCTCCTCCAGTCTCTAAATGACCAATTTGATCGTGTGGGGTCCATTTTTGTCCAAATATGGATTCCACGACAGCATAGACACATTACTATTTTATGTGGACCTTATCGTCCTAACTCCTAATTATTCTGTTTGTGTTAGAAATATAATTAAATAAATAAAAGTATTTTATTTTTAATAGCTCTTAAGCATCTAGCTAACATAAATTTCACGTATTAAAGCAGGCGTAAATTTCTTCAAATGTGATAATCATGCAAAATTATAAAGAATTTTCAAAATTATAAGGAATTTTTAGGTATTAGACTTGTAAAAAAGAATTAAGTACGTACGTAAAAGGAGGGACGTGTTTAAGACATAACTATACAATAAAATGCCCTTCCCCAAGTTTTTTGCCCTTTTGAATAACTTCTATTCGAATGAAACGTGAAAACTTTTTGTTCCTTTTTGTTGCTAATTATATTCTTCTTTTACGTATTTTTTGTTTACATTATGGATTTCCCTGAAATTGCATGGGCGCATTAATACTAATATTACTTTTTCTTAAAAAGCTTATTTGACTTGACCCCAAAATTAGTGGGACTTGTGGATAGAAGAGAATTGTGAGGACCCAACATGACACAAGTACGAGTAGAGAAAGACACTTAATGGACATACAAATTTGAGGGACGACTACTTTTAGGGGTATTATTATTTTTAGTCCGCGTCAGAAACTTTTTGCATCTGATAGTCAAAAAATGTATAAAATTTGTATAATTTTTGTATATAACATATAAAATATATATATACAAAAAATATACAAATTTTATACATTTTTTCGGTTATTATTTTTACAACGACTACACAATGTTATTTTTTCACTACTCTTTATGGTACGATATGTTGGGCCCATTGTTTTTTCATCCCAAGGACCCATTTCTTTTTTGCAAGAGCAAAAGTTTAAGAAATGAATATTATTTAGTTTTCCTAGCATAACTTCCACTATTATATTTTATATTATGAATAAAAAGATGATGTAAAAAATTGAAGGTAAAAAGTACTACCAAGTTTTAGTGCTTAGACTACTAACATGAATTGTTTTGAAAATGCCAAAGAAAGAGGCAGAGCCAGGATTTAGGATTATTTTGATAATAACTTGCACATATTCAATTGATTTTTAAAGTTAAACACAGACATTGAACCAAAGCTACTGAGTTCGATCGAACCCTTAAGCGATATGCCGGTTTCGCCCCTGACCTAAGAACAAGGTGTCAAGCCAATAGTTAATTAGTTAAAATTAACTGCTTAATTACAATTCTTCGTATACGTACATTAGGCTGAGATTCTACATTGTTTTCCTATGGTTTTTTTTACTAATTAAATTATTGGCCACTATGGAAGCATGCATTTCCTCGATTTTGATACGATATATTATCAACTTAGCTTCAAAAACAATAAATCATCAGAGCAGTGAGAATCCGATTCCATTGAAAAGTATTGAACATTGTCACACCCCTTTTTTACGACCACCTAACCCTCTTAAAAATAATAAAAGAATTTTGTGAAGCTCAAAAGAGTTTTCAATTTTGAAAGTGACAAAGAATTATGTTCAAAAGGAAATAACTCAGAGTTGCCACCTGACTTTGATTTCGATGTGCCAGGTCACCGTTTTTAAAATAAGTTTTCCTTTTAAAACGTTTCAGACTATAAAACCAAGTCCGCACCAGAGATTCGGGTAAGGGGGTTCATTTGACTCGGGGAGAAGGTGTTAGGCACTCCCCAAGTCCCGTAACTAGTACGGTTGCATACCTGATCTAGTCGGCTTTTAAAATATTCAAGTTGAGGTAAAATCACGAAAAAGCAAAATAAACACACATGAGGCTTGAGGTCGTCCCCACCTAATAAAAGATAAATAAAAATAAAAATAAAAACACTACGAGTTCTACGATCGATCTCCAAGTACAAATACTTCGGGGCATACCCCCGAATAAAATATCAAATCCTTCGGGGCATTCCCCGAACAAATTTAACTAAGGGAACGACCTCTCACCTCAAAAGAAACTAAAATCAAATGTCCTAAAGGTTTGCCTACCCAAGCGTGGTCGGCCTAAGCATACTACTAGCGGGTCAATTAGCAAATGCAAAATAAAAAAAATAACAAAAATTCAATTGATTCTATTTAATCCAACCCCACATCCCATTTTTAACAAAATTCTTTCATGTCTTCATTCTCAAATGTATAGAGCATATTATAACGTAATTCAGTGAAGCTAACCAAGGTCAAAATCATAACACATTAATTCAACCATTCGAGGAACAAATCAAACAAAGTAAAGCTAACCAAGATTAAAGTTAAAGCAGATTCAAACTCACGGATTAATAAATGGGGTGAAAAGAGATGAACCTGAAAAATGATCTTGCAATTAATATAATTTTGACAGTCCACGGACAGAATACACAGCCACGAATGGAATTCAAAATAGCAAATCCAGCTCGAACGAAACCAATGGACTGCACCCCGGACGACAACTTCAACAATCGAACACCAATTTCAACTCCGCTTCATTTCGGAAGCCAGGACCAAAAGAACAACCTTTTATTGATGAACAGAGCTGAAAATTACACGTCAATCGGGCTAAACCAAGCAACAATCTTTGGACCAAAATACCAAAATTGCAAATCGGAACCTCAAATCGACACCCGAAAAAGAACTCGAAACCCAAAATGAAAGGCAAAAAATGTCGATCCTAAATTGATAAAAATATCAGCAATGGCTTTCCTTGGAGATTGTGCTCTAATTCAGTGGAGTCAACCCATTTTCCTTGTTGGCTTTCATTAATTAAGTGGTCACGTGACTGACTTGGTTACATAGATGCCTAAAACATTAAATGGCAAGTCAAGGATGTGTAGAAGGAGATTGGTTCATATTGATTCATGTCAATATTAATATATGCCATCCTGAGATTGTGTGAATGGCTTGGATGGTTTTCGGATTCTAGGAAAAGAAGCTGAGCAACGTGATAGCTGGACATTTGATCATGCCCAACTATGCCTTATAAAAAGGACCCTGCGGACGTTGCAAATATAACCTGAGTATTCTGCCCAGAGTCAAATCCACAGAGAGTTAACCTATCAATCACTATCTTTAGACCCACTAAACTCTTGAGAACCAATTTCCCCAAACGTTTGAATCACAGTTGATGGTGTCTTTAATAACTAAAATTACAAGTAAACAAACAACTGTAAACTAAGGATGCTAAGGTTGTAAACAATAATGAGAAAACGCTTAGGTAATGACTTCCCCTATTGATGGAATCCCTTCTGTTTATGCTTCATACAAATTGACCAACACCTCTCTATCAATCATGAACGCTCGTCTTACCGTAAATCTCTCCCGAGTAATCACAGTAATATACTCAATGCACTCTCCTGAGATACACTAGCTAGCTCCAATTAACACGGTTCACTTTAGATTGCACTCAAGGCTTTGTTATCCCTAATCTCGCCTTTAAACCCGTAGTTATAGATCCCTCTTATACTTTGGGAGTGGTGTTGTTCAACAATAACCTAAATATGCACTCTCTCCCGAGTTATGCACACTAAATAGGCACAGCTAATTGAGGATCCTGTCAATTAACTACAACATGCACAAAGTTGAACAAATAAAGATTGAGACTAGCAATTTGTATTCACATAAACAAGAAGTTCATCCCCCAATAGGTTCCATCAAAACCTTAGACAAAGGATTTAGCTACTCATAACTATGGGTAAACAAACTAAAACAATATTCATCATAAAACTTGCAAGAACAATCAAAGAAAAGAAGAAAGATGTTTTGGGTGATCTCTCACAATTATTTTTCCTTGCCAAAATACTCTCCAAATCAATACATGCCTCTCTTGGGCGAAGTCTAGTGTTTAAAATAGGGTTTTGGGCTAAAATTCCGTGTTTTGCACTTTAGTCCCTGAAGTTCTCCGCCTCCGCCGCGGTTCTGTCGCGGTCGCGGTCAAACCATGGCCAAACATGCTCTCTGATTCTCACTTTGTCTGCAGCCATCTTCTACCGCGGTTCTGCCGCGGTCGCGGTGGAACCGCGGCAGTCCTCTTTCAGTTCTAACTTGAGTTGTTTCGCGTGGTTTACTTGACAGAATTTTTACGATCGGCCTCTTTTTCTCCATATTTGATCCCAAAAGTACTACATAGCCTTCTCTGGTTATATATAACTTGCAAAGCATGAAAAACACTAATAAGAGCATTTTGTTATCACTTTTATCATCCAAATTATACAAGAAGGTGGTTATTTAGGGCTTAATTATAGTTAAATTCACCTATTATAAACATGCGTTTTCCGATGAAGGTCAACCGATCGATTCTTCAACATTCAGAAAATCAATCCTTCTGCTTGACCATACGGCTTCAGCGTCCATTTGAGTCGCACAAATTTAATTGCTCAAAAGATTTTTCAGAACCAAAATTCCTCCAGCTTTTTGAATGCTGCCGTTTTTCTTTGTTTTTAGTCTAGGTCTTTGGGTGAGAGGTGATGGTTGGTCGTGAGTTTTTTGGTCTAGAGTTTATAAGATGACGATGGAGAATGGTTGTTATGTGTGTAGGAGATGAGGGGACGACTGGTGGTATATTGCGGCTGCTCTCCCTAAAGTTCTAGGGTTTTTCTTTGGTTATGAAGAAGAAGGGTGCTCATGAGATGTAAGGGTTTTAATTTGGTGTATATGGTATTAGGCTCAAAATTTTGTGGGCCATTCCGAATAAGCTTAACAAGCCCAATATTTTTTCATATTAATATAAAAAGATAAAACTAATCCTAATTAATTTAAATAAACAATACTATATTGTTAAACTATTTTGATATTTTTCAAATTTCATACTAAAAGATAAACATGGAATTAGATTAAAATTATTCTAAAATTAAAATAATATTACTATCCAAAACACTAATATCCTTGAAAATAAAGTGTAACTATTTTATTTTATTTTATTTTTTGTATTTTTAAATTTTATGTAAGGTAGATAAACTAAAAGTAACAAAATAAAATATCAATAACCTAAATAAAAGAAAATATTTTTGTGACAAAATAAAGTAAAGTAGTTAAAACTAGGTAAAATAACGATATTAGGCCTAAACTAAATATCTAAATGCTAAAATATGTAAAATCTTGAGGAGGGTCAAAAATCACATGTCTACAAACATGCTTTTATTTCAGGATTCTTTTAATGTAATGTTTTTTTCTTTCTAACAATTGTTAGGTGGAATAATAGACAGTACCCTCACTAGATAGAGAAAATCAAATTACTCATTTAATGGAAATTAACCCTTTATTTTAGTCTTATTACTTATTAGAGACAAAAATTTCAGTGTGGAGATAATGGAATAACAGAAACTGAATTTGATGAATATAATGATAGGGACTCCATTTTTTCCCTCACTTTACGATACTCCGTCTGGACTATTTTAATTAATTTTTTGGTTGTTTTCGCACATATTAAAAAAATTACCTTTTTAGCATTAAAATAATAAAATTGACCATATTAAAATTATTTATTTATTGAAAATATAATAAATACTTCTAGGCAGTTAATTCTTTCTTGTTATTTGAAAAAAAAAATATTATGAACCACAAAAAAAAAATCAAAAAATCAATTAAAATGGATCGGATAAAGTTTCTTTTTTAACCTATATGCTACGCTTACCTTTTCGGATCACTAAATTAGACTTATAATAGACAGTTACATGCTTTTTTATCTAACATGGTATAAAGTAATATTTTATATTGTTAATGTATACAAGTTTTAACTCTTATTTACCCTTCTATATAATCACATTGTACCGAAAGTATGATAACGTTCTGTTTAAGCACATAGCACACTCAATACTAACAATTAACAAAATATGTTTTTCTTAACTGAAAACATAAAATTTTCATACAAAGAGTAACTAATATTTCCACAAAGCGCTTTTTAAGTTAAAGCACAAAATCTTGAAATCTTTGGCTTATCTTTTACTCCTAAAAGCGTCGATCCATGTAGAGAAAACTTTTTTTGAGGGGTTTTTCCTCCGTTGTCTGGTCCTCATATTGGAGCCCGACTATATCCGGATTCACACCTAGTAGAGCCCTGTTCGAAGAAGTGCTCCTTACCAAGGATTTTTTTCATACCCAAAACACGAATTCAAAACCTTTAATTAAGGAAAGAGCAGCTTCATCCGTTGCACCATACCGATGGTGGTCATTTAGAGAAAACTTTTTTTTTTTTGGTTAAAGGGATGTTGTATTTATATACTAGTTAACAAAAGGAACCACATTAGAGACATTACTAGGGTATCGCAGAGATCCCATAGTAGCAATGTTAAGCATAATTGTATTTAAGTTACAACCCATAAAAGACCTAACTAGTTCAGTTCCTAGGATGTCTGTCCAAGATACATCATTGACAAACATCGAAGAACTGATAATGTCATAGATTTATTCAAAAACTCCTTTGCTGTTTCCTTGGCCAAAATATCAGCTACTCTGTTCTGCTCCCGGTAGATATGTCTCACTACCACGCTGCCCATCTTTTAAATGATTGACTTGTATTCATAAAATAGAAGGTCAAAAAACAGATTTCTATTTAAAAGCATATTCATTGTTTTAGCTGAATCAGTATTTATTTCTAGTGGTACTAAATGATTTTGCTTCGCTAGTTGTAGACCCCGTATGAGGGCAACTTCTGCCCTTGTATTTGTTGTTTGGGGGATATTGTCCATGTAGAGAAAACTTTACGTCGCATGTGATAATGATCTAAAAAAAATTGGTTCGTAACTTGTTGTCTTTGGCTGCCAACGTGTTGCTGACGTTGCTTTGTTTGCAAAAAGCGAGAAATTAACCAATGTGATTTAGCCTGCTAGAAAAGTTACTACTAACAACTTTACTTAAAGTTGGACCAGCTGAACAAATATCTAAGTATAGATTTAAATAGGGATCTATACTCAAATAGCTGGTCATATTCATTATTTATTCTTTTAAGTAATATATAGTTTATATATTGATTATAAATAATTATACATATATAATACATAACGTATATATATATATATATATATATATATATATATATTATATATCTATCGGCTATTTTTTGTTAAGCGGTTAAGTAAACGAGTATTTGGGTTAATTCTTCTTTTAAATATCCGACCTTTGATTAACACAAATTTCAGAGAAAAATTCTAGATTTGAAGTCAATAAATATAGAATGTTAATATTTTTTCCAAGAAAGAGTGATTTTTTATTGAAATTTATTACTCCATCCTGTCCACTTTAATTGAGTTTTTAGTTGTTTTCATACATATTACGAATTTCATCTTTTAGCATTAATTAACAATAAAATTGATCAAATTAACCATAATATATTAATTGAAAGCATAACAAATACTTTTAGCCTATTTACTCTAAGGACAACTTTGGAAACAAAAAATTAATTCCTTCTTGATAATTGAAAATATTGTGGACTACAAAAAAAATCAAAAAATTAATTAAAATGAACCGGGAATAGTAAGAACAAAGAGTATTAAAGGAGGACTAGCTTAATAGTGGCATTTACATATCAAAGTCGAGAAAAGATGACATAAACTTGATTCTTTTTACCTTTTGTAAAATAAAGATATGTGATTTTCAACCCGTAGTGAGTGATGAATTTCTAGTAATAAAAAATTAGTAATCTTATAAGGTTTTAATTTTTTTTATTTGAAATTAAGGCATAATAAGTATTGTGGTTCCTTCTAAACTGATATTAGGTGCATTGGCATCTACTATATTTGGTAAACATCAGTCTTAGTATTTGTTAGGTAATTTTTGCATTATATAGAAGTGAAAAAAAAAATTGCTTTTATATATATATATATATTCCTATCTTTCGCTCTTTCAATTTGTATACAGTTCTCTTTCTCTTTCTCTTTGTCATTCTAATTCTCATTCACACAAGCGAATGCCTCTTTTTCTCTTTTATCTTTAAAAAAACTAGTAAAAGGAACCACACCACATTTTATGATCACTACTTAGTTTATTTTATGAGAAATTAACAGTACTATAACTTTTTTTGTTTCCCACCCGATGTCCGATATCTGTATTGGAGTCCGACGATATTTCGATTCGCGCTGGGTAGGACGCTATTCGAGGGTAGCGTTCCCTACCAAAGATTTTTCCATATCCAAGACTCGAACTCGAGATTTCTGGTTAAGAGAGGAACAACCTCATCCACTCCACCGTATCCTTTGATGGTATATTAACACCCAACTCCAATCCTACATCACTTTCTTCTATTTAAAGCCTTCACTAGCATCTCATAAACCCCTTCTCTCTCTCCCCCCTCTTCTAATAAATTTGCACTCTACAGAGAAACAACAAAACAAAATATATATCCACGTAGGTCTGACTCATTTTTCTTCAAATGGACTCAAGATTTTCTTCTTCCTTCATTCTTATCATCTTCATTTTCGTCTGCTTCCACAGAGGTACGTAAAATATTTTAAACTTATGTATTATTATCATTTTAAGCGTTATTATATGATCATATTATTGATGATACTAATTCTGATTTTCTTTCTCAGGCATTTCTGGTACTAGTTTTAATTTAATAAACAGATGCGGCTACAACGTATGGCCTGGAATATTAGCCAATGTAGGTAGCCAAAAACTGGATAGTACCGGGTTCATGCTTGCTCCAGGTGATTCACGGGTATTCCAAGCTCCACAAGAATGGTCGGGTCGGATCTGGGGCAGAACCGGTTGTAATTTTGACGGTAACACCGGTCAAGGAAATTGTGCCACCGGCGATTGTGGCTCAAACCAAGTGGAATGCAATGGCGCCGGAGCAACTCCTCCGGCCACCCTTGCAGAGTTCACTATTTTCTCAGGTATGTGATCGCCTTATTTAAAAGTTAAATATATGTTTTCAAGGTATTCTTTCTGAATTTTTTCATTGGCCAAATACGTAAATATTACTGTAAAACTTGAACTCAAGATCTCTGTCCACTCTAATAATATTAAATTATGTGATATCTTGTCTATATACATTAACTAAATTAATTGTATTTTCAACAGGTACGAAGCAAGATTTCTACGATGTTAGCTTAGTTGACGGATACAATTTACCAATGGCAATCCAAGCAGTTGGCGGGTCGGGTGCATGTGATACGACGGGTTGCGTGAAGGATTTGAATCGAATGTGCCCGAATGAGTTGCGGGTCGGGGATGGGCAAGCATGCAAGAGTGCATGTGAAGCATTTGGTAGCCCGGAATATTGCTGCAGCGGCGCGTATGCTTCACCTTCCACCTGTAAACCGTCGAGCTACTCGGCGATGTTTAAAAACGCGTGTCCTAAATCGTATAGCTACGCGTATGATGATCCTACGAGTACTTTTACATGTACAGGAGCTGATTATACGATTACATTCTGCCCTTCATTAACAAGGTAAGGTTTTTTAATTATTTAATTATTTTTTCAATTCATTTGTTAATATTCTTAGGGGTATTATCACTTTTAACCTACAATTAGAAACTATTTATATTTGGTAGCCGATACTTATAAAAATTGTATAGTTTTTATATATAACATATATATATATATTTCACCTATTATTTTTATAGCAGCTTTACGATGTCATTTTTGCTTGTTGAAATCTTATTCTCTACTTTTGA